ATTCGGCTTCGGATTTGGGGGGTGGGGGTGGGGGGAGGGATGATGACGACATTGGTACCCGAACAATATCTCCACACGAGCCGTTTTACTCGGTATTTACAGTACTTTCGTGATGGCGGACTCTTTTATATGATAATGGTTGATGGTGTGATGACGAAGATGATGATGCATGATGGAGGATGATGATGGATGATGATGCTCGATGATGGTGGTGGATTGAGGCGCCAGGTGGTTGGTAGGGGGGGGGTGGCTACTAGTAGTAGTAGCAGTAGCAGTAGCAGTAGCAGTAGTAGTAGTCGTCGTCGTAGTAGTAGTAGTAGTCGTCGTGGTGGTCGTGGTAGTAGTGGTAGTAGTGGAAGTGGTAGTGGGAGTGGTAGTGGCAGTGGCAGTGGCAGTGGCAGTGGCAGTGGTAGTGGTAGCAGTAGCAGTGGCAGTGGCAGTGGCAGTGGCAGTGGCAGTGGCAGAAGCAGTAGCAGTAGCAGTAGCAGTAGCGGTAGCAGGAGGAGTAGCCGTAGGGGTAGCAGCGGCCGTGGCAGTACTACTACCACTACCACCACGACTACGACTACTCCTGCTGCTGCTGCTAGCCGCCATCTAGAGCTAGCCTTACACCATCAGCCGAGCTAGCTGTCACAGCATCCTACCGAGGCATGTGAATTCGTCCGAGGCCTTCTGGGCTTTTGGGACCATTGCACACACATGGAAGCAGAAATAGAAAGGGTTGTTGGTCCAAAGGTTGCGGGGGGCTGTAAGGGAAATTTCTTACTGATGATCTGTAGCAGGAGAATGGGTTGGTTGAGTTCCTGCTGGAGAGAAGCGTTTTCAAGCCAAGCCACCAGCTCCCAAGCCCCAGAACGAAAACAGACGAAGCCTGTGAAGGACTTTCCGCCAATGTTGCTGCGCCTGCATCGGCTGCCCAGCCAGTGACCCAGGGTCTTAGAATCATTGATAGCAATCATAGTAACAACAATACTAACACTAGTGACAACAACGATAATCATCATAATAGCACTAGTAATAATAACAACAAGACTCCCAATAACAATAGCAATAGTTGCTACAGGATGGTAGCGGAAGAGAGGCTTCAGGAGGCTTTGTTGTACCAACATCTCAGATCGAGCTCGTTTGGGTGGCTTTCAAGATTGATTCTATCCAAATCTTTGTGTCCTCCCCTCGGAGTCCCGCAAAGGAGTGGCTTCCTCGTTCTGGATCGACTGCTCCAGGTTGGAAGGCTTCAGTGCATGCCCCGGATGTCGACGCTTCCAGAGCAGCACAGGGAATAGACTGGTGGCAAGAGCCTCAACAAACATAGCAGACATATTCTCTTAGAGGCTCCGGCCGAGGTTCGTTCGGATGCTCTGGACTTCGGTGTGGAAGTTCCGGGCAACATTCCATTCGGAGCAATTCGGAGGCTATGCGTTGCGAAGCCATGGCTGCGATTCAGAGATTCTCGAGTATGACATGACATGTCGTGACACCAGCATGCAACCTTCTTGTGACAGTCCGTGCGTGCATGCCCCTTTCTGTGGATACCGGTATGTTAGCTCCGGCCATCAGTACTCATTTATCTTCTCGTTATTGAGCCCACTTGCAAGTTGTGATCGTGTGCGACTTATATCTTGATTGCCTGGCAGATGAAGATGAAGAAGAATAAATAAGAATAACAGGATGATGATTGTGCGGATGATGATGTGGTATACAGCAGTTGTTGCTGATGATGAGGATGATGACGGCTGTGATACTTGTAAGTGTTGTTTGCAAGTCGAAGTACTGATGGTGTGGTCCCCGCGTTGCGATTCTCCTAGCGGTCCCTCATTTCTGGCTCTGCCCTTGAACTTTCATGCTGCCGAAGATACTGCTGGTTGACCACGTGCTGACAGCACTCAAATTGATCTGGGGAGTTCCGAGTTTCCGCTTTGGGTGCTTGTTACTGCTAGGGTGGCTTCGGTGCTTGTGATCGTATTCCCTTCCGATCCAGAAAACACTTTGCCGAGCTGTGTTGACCAGTAGGCAGGGACGGTTCAGCGGGGGCAGCTTGCGAGGTCTCATTACGGGCAAGATCAAGTGCTGGATCGTGCCGTCCTTGGTTCGTCCGGGCGCTCCTTCGAGCAGGGCCACTACGCAGCGTTCACCGGGGCAGAGTCCTGACCATCCGACTGTAGGGATAGAAGGCTGGCTCATGGTCTTTCTGCCGGCGAGACGGTTTTGCAAGCGGTGTCATTTGTGGCTAGATTTGCAAGCTCAAGGTCCACAAGGTCAAAGCCGTTTTAAGCGCAGCATGGAGAGAAGACATGCTGAGATGAAAGCCGGCTTCAAGCTGGCGCTCAAGCTGAGAGGGGTGAGGGACCGGATGCCGACCGAGCCTCAGCAAAACAAGCCTCTCACATCTTGTATGCAGCTAATTGCGTGTATGGCTGGGAGTTGCAGGCAATCTGTCAGCAACATCAGATGTAAGTTCCCAATGCAGCTTGCAGTGTGAATGAGGCCGGCAAGCATGGACGTGAAATGCTTGCAGCATGCCTAGGCTGGACCACACCTGCGAGGCCATATATTTTGTCCAGCACTTACTCCCGCTGCTTCAATGTTTAGTTTGCGGCCTTTGCCCGGAGTGTGCGACCTAAGTTTGGCAGTCCTCCAGCACCGTTGATCACGTATGTCTGTCTGTATGCATGCATGCATGTCTGTATGTATGTATGCATGTCTGTACGTATGTATGTACGTATGTACATACCTTCAAATATATACATGTATACGCATGCACGCACCTTTTCGTAGGCATACATACACATAGTGCAACAATTTGTAGCATGAAGTATGAGTTTAATGTATGAGTCCCTCAAGAACCATATGCCCTAAGAGTCCAGATCATTCAATCTTGATACCAAGCCCCCTGCCTCTGAACCCTGTAAGACCCTTAGACCCCCTAGCAGCACTAAAAGACCACAACACACGCAAACAGAAGCATACACACACACACACAGAAAGACGGGCTGCTTGGAGTGGCACACTGCGCCATATTCATGCGACCTTACATGTAACAAGTTCTACAGTACACCGGCTTTTCTGCACTTTTTGCGGCATGCTACGGCCGCTCAGATTCTGGACCGGAAGAAGCGGCAGTGGTGGAAATGCTGCCGGCAAGTGATTCCCCCCTTGATCTTTGCGTGCAGGAACCTTAGCATTCGCCCGTCCAGTGATCGACAATGGGGAGTTGTAGTAGTTGGGGCATGACCGCCCAAGCCAGCCCTCGCTCCCGTGCTGATACTTCTGCGTCCTGGCAGTCCTATAGAGGTGGTGATACTAGTCGTAGTAGTGGTAGTGGCCGTGAAACCCAGTCATAGTCTCCCTCAGTCGCATTCCAACAAGCCGCACCAGGTCAGGAAGTGGAGCCCACCGGTTGGTGAGGCCCTTGGCTGCTTCCTTTCTACACCACTGGGCCCCAGGCCCGTTCGAAAGCGGAATCATTGAAGCAGCTCTCCACGGATATGACGCAGTGAAATTCCGAGCGCCGAGGGGTTTTATAGGGGCGTCCACGACACCGTTCTGCAACATCCCCTCTGGGACTCTGGGTTTTTCCGTCGGAAATTCAGCCCGTTCCACGCTCCCAGAGTGGAGCTTCCGCCCGAGGTACGCGCAGCGAAACGAACATGGAGTCACGATGCCTTTCAGCCATGAGGATGTGTGGGCCTCGGGATCCCGCGTGCCTTTTGGGACTTTGTACCCTCCCCCGGCTAAGACGCTAAGACTTTAAGCTCCGAAAGCCCTGACACATGCTAAAGCTCTACGGAAGCACCCGTTGAACTAAAGGCCCGCAGATGGCCTCACAAAAACCTCCAACAAATGCTCAGCTCAGTATAAACTTGAAGTGACTGTTTCAGAACCCCTTGTAGCCTCACAGATGCCTTCTAATGCCCGAGGCGCAGATGTGCTTTCGCGAGAAGAGCTCGCCGGATCAGAATTGCCGCTCGGCAGTTGAGAGCAAACGAAAGTCCTGGTGGACCAGCAGCTAAACACAGACTATTGAAAGTGATTAACAACTATCCCCCAATAGGGATATTGCTTTGAAGTAGTTTATGTTCAGGTGCTCTGTTGGCCTCCTAGAATCAGCCAAGCCTGTTTGGAGCTGGAGTCGGGGGGTCAAGTTTTAGACTTCTCCAGTCGCTGTGACTCTACGTGGTCTGCAGGTCCAATGCTGTTCTGTGACAACATCCGGGACTGCTTTTACACGGCTGTGGGCAGAGTTTCGGAGAATGCAAACATAGTGAATCACTGTTGTGACTGCGGGCCGGGCATTTGCATCACGACATCGCGCATCTTTTGGAATCTTTGTACAGCCTGCCCACATCCTTCCCAGCTGGAAGCCCAAGCTGTGGATCTTGGATCTCAGCGGATTCCGGTTTTGACAGATATATTGTCTGACAAGTGAAGTGCTGCCAGGAGAACTGCTTCAGCCTCAGTCAGCAGACATGAGTCACTTGAGGAACGTGTGTGTGTGCGCACTTACAGCATAGGGGATTTCATGCCGAATCCACGAACCTGTGCTTAGAATGTCTCGGGATGTTGAGGCGTGACCGTGGGCGAGATGGGCAAGGATGCGAGCTGGCTCGTACCCAAGAAGCCGAAGGACGGGGAAAGGGAAGTGAGACCAGACTAGAGACAGACTGCCGGAGATCAGAGCTACACAGACCGCCAATAGCTGACCTAGTGGGCTGGGGGTGAGTCGATGTGCTCGCTGCAATCCCGGACAGTGGTTTCAGGTCCGGTCGATGCACCTTCAAATACTAGCATGAGTATCACGGGCCATAAACTCAAGCGCTCACGCCGCACCAAACATGCGATGCGGGGAAGTGGGATGAGGTGGGGGTGCATGCAGTGCATTTCACCCTCTTAGCCCTCGCTAGTGTGGCAAAACATCAGGTTGTTGCCAGTGTTGACGATAGCTGTAGAGTTTCCTCTGTGACATGTGTCCGTTATCGTATATCTCCGCCCGCAGAGATGGGAAAATACAGCGAAAAACTTGTAGTATGCTCAAAACCAACAGGTTGCAGAACTGTACGTCTTCAGGAGTTCATGCATTCATCTCAAGATGTGAGTCGTTACGTTCATATATAGCAAGTTTTTCATGTAACAAATTGTTGCGTAAGGTGCGTTTAGGGAATGTAATCAATGTGTGGATATTGGACGTATGTATGCAGACATGCGTTTAGACATCCATGCATGTTTGCATGAATGCATAATATATCCATCTATCATGTGTACATCATACAGGTGTGAGCATATATACATGTATATATATATGTATATATGTATATGTGTATATATATATATACAGTATACGCATATGTAAATATGTATATATATATATACAGTATACGCATATGTAAATGTGTATATGTATATGCAGACTCGTATGTGTACATTCGAGCACAGTAAGAAGTTGGGGATGGTGGGTGTGTGGTTAGGGTTGCACAATCGATGGGAGAGTTTCTCCCCGAACCAGGTCCGATCTGTGAAAAGAATGCCTCTGCCGTCTGACTCCTCATTGGGTTTAGCGAGACACGAGTAGATACGATCTTCCTCCAGTCGGATGCCATCCTTCGCTCGTGCACGTTTTGCTTCTGTGCTAGCAGAGTTCCTGCACCAGGCAAGTTGCCAGCGCTCCTCAAAAGCCTTGCACCGTGATGGCAGGGCAAGTTGTCCTTGCTGGACAGAATCAAGGGCTTCCTCGGAAACATGCACATACCGGATGTTCAAGTTCTCGCCTCAGATTTAAAATTGCTCATTATTTGGGATGCAATCAGAGTCTTTGCAGGGGACATTTTACAAGACCTGTTCAATCCTTGCTCCCTGGCATCTTGGAAGATGTACAGTGGCTACAAGGTCTATCACTGGACCATGCCACCCGTGCTGCTGCTGACTCCCCAGGAGGCGGGGACAACATGAGCTGAGAAGGTCAGAGTTCAGGCACTGGAATCAGCCCTTTGCCTAAACCCAACGTTTTCGCAGGCGTTTGAGAGGAGTCTTTTTTCTGCAGGCAGAATATGTTCAGGAGGTGCTTAGCTCCGCGATCAGTTGTGAATGAAGGAGTCGACATTGAAGTTGGCATCACTTGCATAGACATCGTTGAATCACACGGACGGAAATCCGCCGACGCTTGACCATCGGCCAAGGTTCGGGCTCTGCCACAAAGGAGAAGCGCAGACTTCCTGTAGCATGCCCTGGGCCGCTCTGGCTATGAGGATTTCTCTCATGGCTCGCGTCAGAGCTGGGGCGCTGCTCTTCGCTGCTCCTCGGGGCAGAAAAAAATGTTGCGCGACCGGTGCCGGGCTAAAGGAAATCACATTACTTCGATGCAGCTCTGGGCCGAGTTACATTCGGATACTTGGCGAACCACTGTAAGCAAACTCATGGCCCGGTGACGATTTTCGAGGATAATTCAGAGAGGTAGTCCTGATGGTTCCTCAGAGTCAGAGCTTAGCTGATCTGTTGCAGTTAGCCCGGTCCCGGTCGTGGCGCTGCAGGTCTTCACGGAACAAGCGATGCGGATGCCTGGCTACCTCTCGGACCAAGGCTGCTGAAGCTTTGTTTTCTTTTCCTGCAACTTCAACTCTTACTGCGCTTTGTTTCCGTGATGTAGCATTCGGTCCTCCGTGTTGTCTTCAGCAATATCAGTATCAATCGCAAGGGAAGCCTGGACTTCCTCGTTCCTTGTTGCCAGACCAGATCCTGGAGCTGTGGCCGTCAGCAGCTACACCAACAACAATCATATGCTCAAGTTCAGTTTTCTGGTATATTGGGACGAAGTTGCCGCGCTATTGCTTTCACACATAGCACATGCCTCGACCCGAGCGCTTCTAGACTTCTAGCTGTCCTTAATCTCCACAAAGCTGTTGTCCCGGGCAGCAGGGAGCTCAGTCAGTACAGCGACATTGCCCCACCACAAGTGTTGCGGCCTGCCACAGAAGCAGGTTGTTTTCTCTTGGGAGCACTAGACTGCTTTTGGAGCTGGCTCTTGTTCTCAGTTCCGTGGTCTGAAGTTCGTGGGTTGCTTTAGAAGCTCGTCCTTATGCTGGTGCGCAGATCAGGCGTCTGCAAGAGCAGAGGCTGTTTGAAGATGTGTTCCAGTCCCAAGATAGACTCACATAAACCCCACAACGTGACTTTTACCTAAAGAGGCTAGCTGAACACGCTAAATTTGCGACCCTGAGCTGACCATGTCAGGTGTGAGTGGTCTGTGGGAAGCTCAGAGCAGAAACATTGGTCGTGATGGAGTTCTAAACTTGGGGGTTGGTGTGTGTGGCATTGCTCTGACGTGCTTTGGAATTCGGGCCTCAAGCTATTCAGGGCTTTGGGCGCCCACGCTGACCAATCCAAAGTAGCAGTGCGATGTCCATTTTATAGACGCATAGAAGATGCCGACATGTGATGCTTCCACTGCGTAGTAATTTCCAGCTAGTCAGGTAGAGCTGCAACATAACTACAACTTCGCTGGCTAGTGTTTCGATACGGTAATTAGTAAAGTCTTTTGAACAGAATTCAACATAACGGGGTTGGCGTTCATCCCCACCTCGTTGAAGCTCTGATGGATTGTTATGTCCAAGTTGCCTCGTTGGAAAGAAGCAAAGCAAGTGCCAAGTACTCGCGAGGGTTGCCTGTGCTCTCCGTTTGGTCTTAGTTATGCTTGCCACCGACCACGACCTAAATTACGTTAGGGCTCAGCATGTTTTGAGAGGTGTACACAGCTTGATGTGAATAGAGTTTCTTACTCTGCGAACATCCAGGTTTGCAGCACGAAGTTGTCCAACCAACATCAGCACACTCCGGAACATCAGCACAATCCGGGCTGCATCTTAAGAGGGGCAAGTGCTGTCACGTTAAGTTACATTGCCATGAAAGGTCAAACTGTCGTCAGCTTGGCTGGTGACTCATGGCACTAGGTTGAAAAAAGGAGCACACCTATCCAGAATGTGAGCCGACACAAGCGCTGGACATAAGACATAAGACGCGAAATGAGTCATATTCTGCATGACATCCTCAAGATTTGGTGAGCACATTCGCCTCTGCAGCGCAGTTCATGGTGCGTCAGAATTCAGAATGGAGGCTTCATATCATGTGTGCGTGGCCATCAACAGAAGGAACTCTTTGCACGGTTGGAGCTGCTCAACTATTTCAGTCGATGAGCGGACTTTGAGGGATCTTTGGCATCGGGCGCAGACAGTACGTACAGTGAACAACAGAACAACACTGCAAAGCGGACTGAGGCTGTACTGGAAAGGCACATAGTAAGATGAAACAGATGAAGAAGCACAAGCCACACAGCAAAGACAGACAAACGAGTTTTTCGGAGCTGGTCTCAGACAAAAACTGGCTGGCCACAGCACAAGACCAAGTATGTAACAATGTAAGGAGAAACCCCGTTGAGCTCCACGAACGAGTGATCTTGGCTGTTGGTCTGGTCAGAATGGTCCTTTTTATCGCAAGTCTGTGCATATTTCAGACGAATGTGCATATGTAACATGTATGTTTATCTATATATATATATGAGATATATATACACATGTATGTATGCTCTATATATGGGTACATATATATATATGCATACATGCATGCATGTATGTATGTAGGTGCGTGTATATTGTATGCAGATGCAAATGTGGATGTACGTATCTACACACACATACATATACATATTCATATACATGCATGTATGTATGAATCTATATATATATGCACACATAAATGCTGGTTTATATATCTTCCTCAGGCACGTCATGCAATCCCTTCCTGAGGGCTTCTGCCGGTCTAAAGGGATGGATCTCCAGTGAAGCCTACAATGGTCAGCGCCTCGACATCTTGCACCCAGGATCTGTTTCGCCAACCCCCGGCTGCCGAAATCCGAAACCCCAAACGCAAACCCCACACCCCACTGACAACAGTCAGATGTGTCCGTGTCCTGTGTGTCGCAGCTTTTCCGGCAGAGTCTCTTAGAGACCTGTCTCTTCATGTGCGGCCTTGTTTGAGGGTCGCAACGAGGAGTGCAACATACGAATTCTCAAGTTTAGGTGTGTCGTTTTGGTAATGCTGATCTTAAAGGACCTTATTTTTCAGGGTTTGCTTTGGTTGAGCTACAGAGCGCACTTGTAAATACCGCGGAGGGACTTAGAGCTCCCAGGGCCCTGGTTTTTCGATAGATTTTCCATAGCTGCAGGGAAGCAATGGGCGTGTGCCAGGGCCTCCAGGCCGAGCACGTGGACCGAGACCCGGGCCTTGACTTAGCAGGAGCGCACTTCAAGGGCGCAGGTTCTAAGAATCACGATAGCCGCCACCAGAATCGCCACACCACCGTCGGTGGTGGTGGTGGTGGTTGCGGCGGTGGCGGTGGCGGTGGTGTGTTCTATAACATACTATAACATGATTCTTCATGTTATTGGTGTGGTTATTGTTGTTCTTGCTGTTGCTGTTGCTGTTGCTGTTGCTGTTGCTGTTGCTGTTGCTGTTGCTGTTGCTGTTGCCGTCGTTGTTGTTGTTGTTGGTGGTGGTGGTGGTGGTGGTGGTGTTGTCGTTGTCGTCGTCGTCGTTGTTGTTGTTGTTGTTGTTGCTGTTGCTGTTGTTGTTGTTGTGGTGGTGGTGGTGGTGGCGGCGGTGGTGGTGGTGATGGTACTACACCAGTCACATTGTCTTGCCGCGCATGCGGTTGGTGATTTTCATTCCTCCAGCCTAGGCGTTGACGATGCCTTGCTGCACCTCGCCCACGAGAGCCCCAACGTCTTTACTGAGGAGCTCAAGTTTCCGATGCACCTGTGTCCATATTTGCTAAGTTTGTTGCATAGTGAAAAACATCGCGAGACACCAGGCACTGCCAAGCTTTGTTAACCGATCCTGTGACAATGCCCTAGGTATGTTGTCCCTCTACAGACCTTCATGCACATGACCGCGGTGCAGCCCTTCGAAGTTCTAATGCAAGAAGAGGCTCTGGTCAGGTACGAGCCGCACATGGGTGACTCGTATGACAGAAGCTCTGGACGTCGGGTCTTGAAGAAATCCCTCCTGCAAAAATGCAACATCGATTTGTAGCAGGGTGCCCGCAGCAAGCTCAGGCGATGCTATCTTCGTGTCGCATCAGTGGGCGGGGCAGAACCATCCTGATCCGGATTTTCGGCAGCTGCGCGTTCTGCAAGGCGCCCTCGAGAACATGATGAGGACCTGGGGCCGTGGCCACGGACACGTGCAATTTCCTGATTGCTGTCTTATTGCGATCTACAGCCCGTTTGCAGCTCTCCGCCTGCCATGCCGCCATATGTTGTGTATAGCACCGAGTGCCAAGTCCAAGCTCCCTAAAGAAGATTGAGGTTCGAAGCTTCGCCAAGCGTGAATCCCAAAGCCGATAGAACGCAGCCTCAAGCCTTAAGCTTGAACCTGATGAAGGAGCTCAATGGAGATCCCTGGCCCCGCCCTTGCCTTCGTAATTCTGGGCGAGCGACGGTGCTTTCACAGCTCGGAGCTGATGGCCTCCGCTCTCTTCATCTGGTACGACTCTGGGTGCCAAAGTGGGATAAGATTCGGCTCTCTGTGAATAAGTATAGAAGCTTAAAATTGGCTAGGACTGACTAGGACTAGGAGTTGAGCCAGCAAGACCGAGGACTACTTCTGCTGCCCGCAGCTGGAGACGAAGCCCAGCAACGAAGCCACATCTGACCTGCAGAATGCTGTGGACAGCATTCCAGGGTATGTCTACCGTGCAAAGTTCTTTTTTGTGCTGGCTCCAGTGGTTCAACATGCTTCGGATGGAACGCTTATCGGAAAGAAGGCAAGGGGAATGGATGGTCAACAAGATTCTAGTTATGTCAAGCTTGCGGAAGACTAGCATAATGCAGTATGTCGGCTAAACTCAAGAAAAAAGACAGGCATGGAAAACCCGTGGCTGGTGCAGAGTAGAGCGAGTTGCACGCGAATTCCAAGACGACCCGAGGATAGTGCGTCTTGTCTTGTTTGATGGTATTCTAGTGATTCAGACTGCGATGTGGCGATGTGGGGTCCTTTTACGAGAGTTTGATTGAATGAGGGGCCCGAGACATAGTTCGGATCCATAGTGTCAGGACCCCTAATGCCAATTCGGGACCGCTAAAGTCTGGAAGCCCAAGCGAAACCCTAAACCCTAAACCCTATAAACCCTTAATCTGTAGGTATGTTGACAGCCCGGAGATCCAAACGCTCATGGAGCCATTCGAGAGCATGCTCGCCCCACCCGGAGAGGGAGTCTTCAGTGTAGCAAGCGACAAGGAGAGGGTCTTGAAGTTGATGAGAAGCATGCTGCAGACACATCTGTGCTCCTTGTTGCAGACTGCGGACCTGTATCCCTACAGGTTTCTCTTGAACAGGTATCGCACACACCTGGAGGCCTTCTGTGTGCAGGTTGCAGCCGCTTCCACGCGTGCCAATGTTCTAGCACCGGTCGAACCTTCTGGTTCCGCTGCCGAGTCCGCTTCTCTTGTTTCCCTTCTCGTCCCCTTTCTGCGGGAGAACGGCTTTCGGGATGTTTGGCGCCGGGAGTTCGGTTGGACGCCGGTCTGCTTTGCGGCACTGCGTGGCGATCCATCGATCCTGGAGGCTTTGCTGCATCTCAGGGCAGATGTCAACGAGGAAGTGACGCAAAGCGACGAAGAGCATCACATCCACGCGCACAACACGCTGCTGCACGTCTGTGCACAGTTCGGCAATAACGACGGCCTGAAGCTCTTGATCGATCATAAGGCTGACATTAACGCCAGGGGCGACAAAACAGGTTGCACTCCCCTCCATCGGGCAGGCATCGGCGACAACCCAGTCACTTGCTCTTGCTTAATCTTGAAGTTTTCGTGTTATCTGAACGGCGTTGAGCCTCGTTTGTGCAGTCCCTTGCGCTTTATCCCAGGAAGGAGTGATTCTCTTACTCCGCGCTGGATGTGACCCCTACTTGCGGGAGAAGTTGGCTGACCAGAATGTCTTGTATCCCGCATGGATTTGGGGCTCCCAGCGTGCTGTGCAGGTGATGCTGGAGCACATTCCGGGTCTGGACATAAGCTGCCTCTTGCACTTCGGGATTCTAGGAGGCAGCAACACTGGTGAGTCTGTTGCGAAACTGATTGCAGCGGGGGCTGACATCAACGAGCAGTTCCGCTTCCTTCCGGACAGGTGGGATCCAGTCTTTGCTTTGTTGGCTGCATTCTTCCGAAAATTTCACGGCAGCAAGCTGAGCTTCATCATCAGCAACTTTTATGGGTCAACCCCGCTCGCCATCAGTCTGCTCACATCCTCTTTGGAGGCAGCATCTTACCTGATAGAAGCCGGTGCAGATGTGAATATCCGGAATGCGTGTGGTCTGCTGCCTATCGAGCTTGCGGCCGCCACGTCGGCCCCCAGCTATATGGTTCAGCGGCTCAAAGAGAAAGCAGCTCACGGCAAGCCAACCCAGAACATAGCTGGAGTAGCTCTAGAAACTGTTTGTATTTCATTCTGACGCTGGCCTTAGCAAAGCAGCGGTGGACGCCGGGCTTGTGTTTGTGTATGTTTGTGTGTTTGAAGAGTCTTGCGGGGACGGTGGCAGGATGTTGAGCTCTAGGATTCTAGGGCTTCGACATGCTTCGCGCTTTTCGACGTAAATGTGAACCTCCGGCGGCGATTGAATTATTCAATGTGCCCAGATGTGGTCCACTTACCTCGTTGTTGCTCGGGCGACGCAGAAAAAAGTTTGCACAGGCATGCCTGGAGAACTAGTTTTGAAACGCGTCTCCGTGTCTTCGTGTCTCTGTCTCGAGTCTCTTTGTCTGCCTGTTTACCTCATGGAAGATGGGAGCCTCCCACGGTGACAGCTGGTGTCTTTGGCTCAGGGACACGGCTACTGGTGCCTGTGGAGCCTGCCGAGGCCTGGCAGGGGCTCTGAGGCTTCAGGGCTGGGGGCTTTCTCTGTGTGAAAGTCGTAGTCGATAGTTAAGAAGGCATGCTAGGTAAGATGTCATGTGGTGGAACATGCTTGAAACGTTGCCATTTGCGAAAAGCGGCGGAAGTAGCTTCTTCGTCCTTGTATCGATGGTAGTTCAACTGTCAGCATGGTCTCGCACGTTGAAAGCTCCTCGCTTCTGATTTTTGCTTTGCCGCCTGTTGTCGCGGTCGTCGTCGTGTAAGACTGTTGGAGCAGCGACCTTGAAGGTGCCTGCAGCCACCGAAAGGCAGCTCGGCGAGCTCTCCGGGGCCTTGCGTGGTATTTGCGCGCCATTGCCCAAGCTGTAGGCTGTGACTCAAGGGAAGGAGGTGAGGGGTTGAAACCGCAGCCGACAGCAGGAGAGAGTCACACTTCCGGGTGATCATGAGCATGATCGTGATCATGATTGTGGTGATGTCGGATGATGATGATGAGGATGAGGCTCTGAGGATGAGGATGATGATGATGATCAACATGATGGCTGTGGACGTGGTTCATGTTGTGCTTGTTACTTGCCTGCTTGCGTTGCTGCTGTTGCTGCAGCAACACTTGCAACTTGACAGAGCTGCTTGATGTCAACCTTGTCGTGTGAAGCTTCAGATTACGAGGGTCAAATCTCTGTTGACAACTATTGAGACCGGCATTTGGACATCACAGTTTGTGTACAGAGCGCTCGGCATCCACGCAGCAAGTTTAGTGCAGTTCGCAAAGCTCCATGTCGGAATCCCTTTGTAGACAACTAGGCATTACAATTGAAACAACGTCGCAGGTGTGCACTGAAGGTGGGCTGCTGTTCTTCTTTCGGGCTGTGGCTTAAGACATAAACATCATAATTTTCATAACAAATGTATATATATATATACATACATACAATAACATCTGTAAGTTCGTTCATATTCACACACGCACACACAGGAGTTGAGAAGCCTGCATTATGCACGCAAGAGACCGCCCAACGGCAAATCACATGCTCTCGTTACAAGTCTCTGAAGCAAAGAGAGAAAAGTGCTTCATTTTAGGGGCTTAGGGGCTTCGGGTTTAGGGCCCTAAACCCTAAACCGTGAGTTTAGGGTTTATGCAATGCCGCCTGGACTGCGCACCGAGCCCGAGGAAGTGCATACTCTTTGGATAGGCTCGGCTCCAAGGGCTCAGATTGGGCGATGTGTTGAATTATGTTATATTATATCATATTGTATTATATTGTGTCATATTTTACTATATTGTATTGTATTATTTTATATTATATTATATTGTATTGTATTGTATTATAATATATTATACTTTGTTATAGTATAGTATAGTATAGTATAGTATAGTATAGCATGGTATATTGTACTTATTATATGATATTATATTATACTATATTATACTATATTCTGTTATACTATATTATATTATAGTATAGTATAGTATAGTACATCATATTTTATTATATTATATGATATTATATTATACTATATTATGTTATACTATATTATATTACATTATATAAAAATTACATTATATGATATTATATTATATAAGTGTATATTATTTTTAATTTCATATTGTATTATATTTCATTGTATTCTATTAAGTTACATTGCTTGATACTATATTCTATTATATATTGCATTCTGTTATAGTAGACTGTACTGTACTATATAATATGATATAATATAATATAATATAATATAATATAATATAATATTATAGTATATCATATTATATCATATTATATCATGTTATATCATATTATATCATATTATATCATCTTATATTATATTATATTCTATTGTGTTATGTTGTGTTGTATTATGTTACCCTTTTTTAATTGTATTATATTATATTATGCCATGTTACTTCGAGCCTGGTTTAGCAAAGGTCAGGAATGTATCGGAGAAGCCAAAAATCAGAATTTGGATTTGTGAAGTTCGGGAGCTTGGCTGTGCGTAGGCCACTGAACCACTTAGCAACGGCTCGCGGAAGCCTGCAAGCGTTGGCAATGCCCATGCGGATTGTTCCAGGTTGCAGTTGTTCGTTCTTGAAGGTTTGAAGAATGTCAGGCGATCAATGTCTGCCTCGTTAGGCAAAGAATTGCCCGAGTGGGTGCCGCTGTGCGTGGCGTCCTACCTTGACACGGGCCACATGGTACGCTGGTGGAGCCTCGAGCCGCAATTCGATGCCGGCAGTAGCTACTGCCAACATGTCGGATCACGTCCTGGGGTTGCTCGTGCATCGCAACCCTGTAGAGCCAAGTTGGATGGCATATCACCGATTCTTACCGCACTTGCTCACAGGGGGTCTTGTTAGTGTTGCGCTGCGCATCCTGTGAAGTAGCTGCGCAGTCTCAGGCAGATTGAGCTGTGCTAGTAAACTACAGAAAGTCTGGCTTTAGCCTGCACCATGCTACTCCTCGAATTACCTCCCCTGTTTTTGTCCACCGCCACAACTACCCTGATCTTCGGCGCAGTGAAAGACCACATTGACATGGCAATTCCAAAAGCTCAAGTCAAAATCCCAGACCTCGATTTCGATTCGGAGCCCTTGTCGCCGGATGCAACACAGCAGTATCCGGACTCCCGTGCAAACCCGAAACAGACTCCAATCATGCACTGCTCATTTCTCCCAATATCCGAAAGACCTTGTAACTCTACAGGCTCTACCTCGAGGAAGAGCGCAGCGACGACTTGGATCTGCTGCGCAGTGGACGAGGAACAGGTTTTGAGAAGGTCGTTCCAAAAAAGACTTTTTACAAGTTCCGGGTCTAAGTGCTTACGGTGTGGTGCCGATCGCCAAAGCTGGTGAGCTCGACATGGCCCCGTACAAAACAAGTCAATCCCTGTACACGTGCAACAGGCAACCTTCTGAGGGAATGGCAACCGCAAACCATGAGTCTTCTTGAAGGAGCCCCTGGAGTTGAGACAAACATCAGGTCACAGATCTAAACAATTGTAAAAACCATACCAAGGTACATCTTTCAAGTTCGTTCATCTCTGTTTACATACATGTCAGTGTGTATATACGCATATCCTTTAAGGCACTTCTGTTTACACTTTTCACCCCGCAGTCGGCCTACGGCTTCTTGACCATCCGCGGCTGTGTCTCCGACTCCGGGCTCAACAGTTTCCAATTTCGTTCTTGGCTTCACAGGGCTTCTGAAGCCTTGGCTCAGGTCTTCAGGGTTCTGGAGCTCAAAGGCCCAGGGGTTGAGCCATCGTGTTTTCGGGCTTCGGGGACACTGAGGCGAACCGCAAGAGTTGCCTCGGCTACCAACTAACACATTCGACCTGCCTGGACACACGGTCTGGAGCTGTTACTTTTGCGTTGGTTGACGCCAGGCTCTTTTCCTCCATTCGAGGAAACATCAATCTGGTTCGTCAGCGCGGTATTGCCACCACTACCCAAACGGCCACTGCTAGGATTGCTGCAGCTGCAGCTAGCACTACCACCACCTCTACCACTACGACAGCAAGCAGCCATGAAACAAAAGGAGCGGTGACAATATTCGTGCAACGAAGCTGTGCTAGTGGCAAACGCTACCTCAGCAACAATCACGGCACTCTTAGGAACACGACGGTACCAGTACTGAAAAGCTCTAGTGTTGCTACCAAATTCAGCGACAGCAGCGCAATTCCAGTATGAAGTAGCGCAGCTAGAGGGACCTAGATCTGTGATCATGGTCAGGACCATGACGATGATCATTGCCACCATGGTGTCCATGTTGATGTTGATGTTGCCGGTTGTAAGACTACCATCGTCTTCATCGTCACTTGCTTTGCTCCTTTTGCCCCTTGTCAGCAACGTTCCCCCCGGCCGAGAGCCATCTCCGGGTCTGGTTTCGCATCGCCTGATGCCCAGGAGATGCGAACGAGATTCTGCCCTACAGCCTGGCGAAGACGAAACACAAGAGCATAACTCTGTGGGCGTACGGGGTGGTTTCCCGGAGATTGCGGTATACTGGTAAGCCCAACGGCTCTGCTTGGGGCATCATGCGCAAGTTCAATCCTTTACTCATGGCCCGCTCAAAGCATGCCTATTGCTTTTTTTCTGCTGTGACGTGGGGGAATTTGGTCGGACCACGTGTTTGTCTTCAATTTTCTCTGTGAGACTTAAATCAAACTTTTTCGCGCACACCCAGAAACTCTACAAAGCCTACTGGTAGTCCGGTCCTGAAGCTGAAGCTTTGCAAACACAACAACCTTTTTCATTGGTGGTTATCGGTAGAAGCTCAACAGTCAGCAACATTCGCCCTGTTAGTGCCTCATCTGGATCATTACCTCTCCTGTCATGATTCTGGCAACTGTCTTCATTGAGATGGCTAGCTGTTATCTTCACCACCAGCATCGCCGTCGCCACCGTCAACACCCTCACAACCCTCGTCATCGTCATCACTGCTGTCATTGGGTATGATACTGGTACCAGTGTAAGACCATCATCGTAGCCACTTCGCAGTTATTGTGAGATGCAATGTCACGGGCTCTGCACCTGAAGCGCCCAAGGATGTATTTCCATGGCATGGGCCCAGCTGGCCTCTGGAAAGGATGGGCACCGTTCAGTGTCGCTTGCTCCGAAAAGAAGGTAGTGGGTTTGCAGTTTGAAGGGCTGTTGGGGTTTAGGGTTTAGCGGTCCCCGGATTCAAGAGCAATAGGAATCTGTGTTTGTGTCGAGAGGAGGACCATGCAGCGTGGTGAAACTGACAAACTTGGGAAACGTTCCTTCTCTTTGGAAGGCTTCTGCAGTTCTCGACCCGTCATCCCGGTTTATGGTGTAGGAGAATGCTTTAATCTTTGCATAGTACCTTATGACACACTTGCGCCAAAAGCTCGAAGTGCTTCTCCGTCTCTAGCATTGTCTTCAGAAGGTGTCAGGTCTCCAAACTACTGTCTCGTAGACAAGGTTAGTCTTTTTGCCGGGCGCACGTGTCTAGAACGCAGGTTGGTGCTTGTCGGTCAGGGCGCGGTGTTTATGTGGGAGTTTCTGAATAGTTTTGGGGTTTCCCACTTTTGTATGTCTAGAGCCTAGAGAGTTGCACGACCCGAGCTCAAACCACAAACTCCGGGCACAAATATTTGGGCAGCTTCCACGAAACCCGACTTTCAATGAAGTCAGTCCAGCCCACTCCCGCCTTCTTGAAGACACAGCGCTGCTTGCGTGGACACAGCTGACAAAGGATTGGTTCCGCTATGAAGTCCTGTCCCGCTTTGGCGGCTGGTGGGTGGACGCTGATAGTGTGAGTGTTCAAAACTTGGGCGTCCTCGGTGCAGAGGCCCTTCCCGTTCGATGTTACACGGCTTTGGAGCTTCGTGGTGTGGTCGAGCTGTTAGCAGGCCTCTGGCCGATTCGGGGTCGGACATCTTCTGACATAGCAGCATCATGATCCGATCGCGACGCGGCTTGCAGACTGAAGCAAGTTTGGGTAATATGTTCCTGAACCCTAAACCCTAAACCCGTTCGGAGAGATTCCGCTCGTTTCGTCGGTTCTATGGATGCGCACGATTTGATTTGGGTTCATTGGGATGTCTCCCACGCCTGTAAGAGACTACTCTTTGCACTGCGCCAGCTTCAACTCGAAACCCTGTTGAGGCTTGATGCCTTGAATCCTTGAATGTCTGAAGTTAAACCCACCTCACGGGACCCGCAATTCAAAGAGGCATCCGAGCTGATCTGTGCCACGGAGCGCCATCGCCGCGACCGAAGACGCCTGGGCGCCTTAGCCATGGCGAAATCAGAGGCTTCGGATGATGATTGCGATTATGAGTATGATGAGTTTGATGACGATCACGCTGATGATGATGTTGATGATGATGATGATGATGGTGGTGATGATGTTGCTGATGATGATGATGACAATGGTGATGATGATGATGATGATTGTGATGATGTCAGCTGCTGCTACAGTTGTAGCAGGAGCTGTGTTCTTGTTTTGAGAGCGATGCCACAGTCACAGGACACTTTCTGTCTTCTGTTGAGGGAAACGGGCGACAGCGAGTAAGCGGATCTGGGCCTTCCTACTGTTCCCACCGCTGCGGGCATTCCGTTCCTCCTTCACAGGAGCCAGGGCACAAGTCTCGCTGGCGACACTATGATGAAAGCCGCTTCAAAGACTGGGCGGATCAGGCATGCATGCAGCTCGCGTAGGACGTTCATGGGACATGCGGCTTGCAGGTCACATTGAGATGCGGTTAGAAGCTCAAAAACCACGATCCCAACCGCAGAAGACTTCTCTGAATCAGTTTGTACTTTGTTCAGTTAACAGTTAACAGGCAGAACTCACTCCGCCGCTCAGCTTTAATCTTTGCCCATGTTTTTGTGCCCCGTTTCCTCGGGATTTATCACGCCTTCCAGATTTTCAAATGTGAGTAAGCCCTACACACACTAACTCAGTATCACCGCTTAATCTTTAGAAGACTTCCCCAAGAAGCCGATGAATCCCCATCTCCTCATGGCCAGGCCTCCGCGGAAGGCCTAGACCTCTGCCTGCTTTGCAACTGCGCGCTGCGGGCCCCGAAAGCCGCGCCGCCTCTCGTGGCCCTGGCGCAGGCTCCTTGCCGTGCCGTGTGCCTTCTCAGGGTCTTGCGCTGTAGAAATAGAGTTGAGGAGTTTGTGGGGCTTAGAGTTAGCCTGGCAGGGTTTAGGAGTGTAGCTGGAGGTTTGGGTTGGTGATGGCTTTGAGATTCGTGCTTAGGCCTTACATGGGTTGGCAGGCTGCAGCGAGGGTGGAGCAACAATCTGGGAGACTTCGGCAGATCGGATCTTCTGCAAGCTGCAGCAGCCACTTTGCAGCCTTCAATGCATGCACAGCACCGGCAAGCAAGACTGCAGAGTTCATTCTTCCCTGCAACCTTTGACCTCACTGGAGGAGATGTGGAATCGCTTGGAGCGACGCCTGGCTTAAGGGACGTTGGGGCTTTCGACTGGGTCATGACTGTGCTGCCTGGAGGAATGTCGCGCTTTGACTTCGATTTTGTCTGGGTCTTCCGGTCAGATCACGTCCCCAGCGCATCTCTGGTGGGAAAAAAGCGGGACAGGTATTGATTCAGCACCTTCGCGTAAACCGGCTTAGCATCGGCTGTTCCACTATAGCCATTGCCACATGGCTGTCTTGCCAGCAAGCAACTTTGGCGTAAAGTCGACTTTACAGTTTCCGATAACTAGAATACCAGTTGATGTCGAGACTGGACTATACAGCCGGGGTATGGAATGAGCATGGTGAGCACCCGGCCACACACTTCGCAAAAACCAGCTGGTTTGCTATGTTTTTCTTTTTTATCTCTAACATTCAATCAGTATTCAATCGTTTTTCTGGCTGCTGCCAGTGTAAGGCAACCCGGCTCTTACCACGGCTTCCCACTGCTCGCCAGTATCGAGCATTCATGCTCAAGTTGTTGCTCCGTTGTAGACCCACCAGGCCGTCTACTTAGAACCGACGGAATCCAGGTCTGCCTGTCAAAGCCAAGACGAAACCCTCACCTTTGAGAGATCTGTTTTTGGAATTTTGCACTTAGTGGTGCTTGCCACTTGTTCCGAAGCCAACTTGCGAAATGCGAGGCTACGCAGAGGAGTTTCGTTCGCGCGGCATTGAGGGCCCCAACAGCATCACGGCTTTGAGCAACGCACCCGACTCAGCTGTGGGAGCCTGCGTGGGAGCCTGCTTGTCGCCTTGGAAGTAGTTGTACAGTTTGAGGAGCTTGATGAAACGCAATCCCATGTATACCAGTAAGCTCTGTTTGCTGGCAGTATAGGATGTTTCCTGGTCCGTTTGTGGATATACGGACATATGGTTGTTCATACATGCACATACATAGGGTAGATACATACATGCTTACAAACATACATATGCATGCATGTATGTATGCCTGCCTGCATGTATGCATGCATGGATGCATGTATATTTTTATGAAGGTATGCAAGTATGAACGCATGTACACACATACGTTACACTATATTACATTACATTACATCACGTCACATTACAATACAATGCATCACATTATTACATACATAATTACATACATAGTTACCTACTAGTTACCTACATAGTTACATACATAGTTACATAGATAGTAACATACATAGATACATACATACATATACATATACATATACATATACATATACATATACATATACATATACATATACATATACATATACATATACATACATACATACGTCCATCCATCCATCCATCCATCCATCCATCCATCCATCCATCCATCCATCCATCCATCCATCCATCCATCCATCCATCCATCCATCCATCCATCCGCCTATCCGTCTATCTATCTATCTATCTATCTATCTATGTATCTGTCTATCTATCTATTTATCTATCTATCTATCTATCTATCTATCCATTTATCCATCTATCCATCTATACGGATGTGTATCTTGCTCCTGCGGGGGCTGAGGGGTAAGTTCCATGTTCACCGTCAGCGCCTCGAGGAAAAGCCTCTGTTTGTGTCTCTGGAATCTGGCATCGGCAAACACCTCAGAAAGAGATGCTACATGTTAAAGGTTTATCCATACTCATACGAAGCAGGATTTGTATTGAAGCTTTGGTGATTGTGTATAGGTCTCCTTAATGAACAGTGTATGTGCACATGGGGATGATAGTAGTGCAAGTCCGATTTCATCTACTTCTGCATGCAGGCTTCACGGCTTCGCTGCGCACTTCCAAATGGTATGCTGGGATCCACGCTGCTGCAAAAGGCTGCGCGCGAGGCCTGAGGAGGAGGGTTTTGGGGAAGATCTGACAGACTCCAAAATGCGAAAACTGCAATGCCATTGCCTCCAATCCGCAACAAAAGCTGAGATCCCACAGCTTATAATTAAGCCCGAAGTTGAAAAACAGCCTAAAGCCTGGAGCTCTTAGCTGCAGAAACCCTCCCAAGCCCTCTCCATCCCGGGACAAAGAGTTATTTTGTTCAATCTTTCGACAGGACCTCGGGTCTCTGCGACTGCGGCCACTTCACTGGTCCTGCTTCAATCCCGTTGAGGCTCAATGCCGACATCTGTGGCGTTTTGGATCAGGGAGGGTGGCGCTGCAAGTTGGACAGATGATAGCTAGACGATTTTGTTCGTCATGTATCGTCATTCATAGGAACAGTAGCGACGTTTTTTCTTTGGTAGATCCATAAACCTCCAACCCAAAATGTGCTTCCGAAGCAAACTCAAAAGTACTCTTGGGGCCTTAGAGTACCATATAAATCTGAAATCTTTGGGGACTTGTTGGAAAGACATACAGGCATCGCGTGACGGCATATACCCTAGCACTTTAATAAGATATTCTGCTACATGTGGGCCGACGACACACGACAGCTGCAGAAAGTCGCCGCGGCCGGACCGTGGATGAAGGGGATCGACCTAACGGAAGATAGAAACTAGACTATGCTGCAACCGAGTCTACATCTGCGGGGGAAAGGGAGGACCAGGGATCCAACAACTCGCCCCACCCCCCCTCCCTGCCGCCCGCACCGAAGCTTGCACCCCGAACTCCGTGTTTATGCTGTTCACGTCTATAAACCAGGAAACAAGTTCAGTATTTAATGAATCGAAAGGTGACACAATGCTTCGTTCTCTTTGCATATGTTGGTCTCTGGTGCTTCTGTATCACTTTCATTGTTGCTGGCAGCATTCTCGTTTGGTAGTTCGCAGTGTAATGAGTTGTTTTCCATTTGTCTAGTCCTTGTCCCAGTGTCTTAGCTTTTGCTCATACACTCACCAAACCCGCATTGCAAGGCCACAGACGCAGAGCGGATGCACCGAGTACTAGAGGGTCAGGAGGCACTGCCAGCCTGTGCGCTGGCCGTGCACTTCTTCCGCAAGGCCTGAGTTTGTTATCGGCTTGATGCTCGGGGCTGGTAACCTGGAAGGTTCTTTACATAGGGATGACAGAAGGGTTTCACACTTGACTTCGGCTTCAGTGCATGTCCACCCGCTGTTAGATGTCGATGTTGCATGGCCAAGGGGGTTCGGCATGCAGACCTACTTTAAGCACTCAGCAACCATTCCTTAGAGCTGGAAGGATTTCGCTGGGACTAGTTGACTTTTTTGTCATCTCAAGCTCCTGCGTCGACTCTCTTCGGCTTGCGTAGTGTGCATTTTCACAGCCATAGTAGTAGGGAGAGGTACACCATCAAGAATTAAACTGACCGCCCTGCATGCTTGTAGCTTGAGCGGGACAACAGGAATTGTGGTACCCTGCAGATAATGCTCCTCAGGAGTAATGTTATCTCGTTACATGGATCAACCAACGAATGCAGTTCCAGTGCGGTGTTCTACTTGTATGTATGTATGTATGTATGTATGTATGTATGTATGTATGTATGTATATATATATATGTATGTACATATGTATGCTAGAACTCTCTCTCTCTCTCTATATATATGTGCATGTATGTATGCATGCATGCATGCATGCATGCATGCATGCATGTATGCATGTACATATATATATGTATGTATATGTATATGTATATGTATATGTATATGTATATGTATATGTATATGTTTCTGCATATGCATATGTTTCTGTATATGTATATGTATATGTGTTTGTGTATGTATATGTGAATGTGAATGTGCATGTGTACGTGTATGTGTGTGTATGTGTATGTATGTGTATGTATTTGTCTGTATGTGTCTGTATGTGTGTATGCATGTATGTA